CAAATCAAATCAAATCAAATCAAATCAAATCAAATCAAATCAAATCAAAACTTTATTGTAATCACAGACCAGCCGAACACAAACCTTTAAATAATGAATGGAGGAGAAGCCCCGCCCCTCCCGATTCATCCCCAGCCGTCTCAAGTTGCAGCCAATCAGCCTGGCGGGCCTTCTGACGTCCGCGCCCGCTGATTGGTTGTCCACTGGAAGAGCCTCGCACCAAGGGGGCGGGGCCGCGAGCTTTTATTTCTGGTTTATTTCATCGCCCGGAGGTTAGCGCGATTCTTCTGGGCGGTGAGGCTTTTTCTGTCTTTCAATGCAGGGTGGGGGATCCTGCTGGGAAACGAGGGGGTGCTGCTAGCGGGAGGGTGACTTGCAATGCAGAGGCCAGTCTTTGCAAAAGAATCCCGGGCTGGCCTTGCAGGCGACCCCGACCCAGCTGAGCCGGGACTTGCTTCTGCCAAACTGTGATTTGCGATCTTGGTTTGTCCAGCCACGGGAGGAAGTCTCTGCCCCCTGGACATGGGCTCTGAGTTTGCCCCTTTTAGCCTAAGGAACCCCCCTCGGCTCGGTTCCCACGACCCACGAAACTCCCGACACGTGTTTGCCAGTGCAGTGCTTTTGAAAGGGTCAAACTGCGTGTTGGGGCTTAGGGAAGAGCGCCCTTCAGCCCCGGGAGGGAAGAGAAAGCGCAAGATGTGTGGCTCGGGTTGGATTGAGGGCTGGTTTTAGATTTAGGGCTTAATTTTAAGTGGGGCGAAGTCGATGGTGGCTCTCCTTTACTTTCCTGCAAAGAAGCCGGAAACTTCTCCCAAACTTTGGAAAAAGGTCTCTTCCTTCCCAAACGGGGGGTTCTTCATACAGCACTGAAATCAAGCTGTGTTCCTCCTTCCCAGGCTGCTTCTGAGTAGCTGCTGATGGTATTTGATTTATTTTTAAATAATAAGATATATTAAAGCAGTGTTTCTCCACCTCGACAACTTCAAGATGTGTGGACTTCAACTCCCAGAATTC